TTTATATAGCACTTTTTACAAGTGTTATCACAAAGCAGCTTTACAGTAAAATCCAGGTCCAAGCCTCCGTGAGCAAGCCAATGGCAACAGTGGCAAGGAAATACTCCCTAAGAGCAAGAGGAAGAAACCTTAAGAGGAACCAAGACTCAAAAGGGGAAACCATCCTCGTCTGGTCAACACTGAGTAGCAAAACAATAACACAAGAGTAATATTAATAGAGAATGAAGTATACCATTAGTATAAAACATTAAAATACAAAAAAAGGAGAAAAGCAGGTGAAACAATGGCTCTGATTGAAATGGTCCAGAAGGTGGGCGAGCAGTGGGCGCCCAGTTCAGCTTGGCAAAGAAACACACAGAGAGTTAGTTCTGTTAAGAGAGACTGATTTCAGTACACAGTTTAACAGAGTGCAGCAGAGTCTCAGGCAGGTCTAGCTGTTACAGCTTAACCAAAAGGGAGAGCCAGAAGGTAACAAATACATGAGGGCTCCCTAAGATGCCCCTCTGCTCCACTGTCAATAAACTTTAGTGAATGCGTGAGAGCAGCGGGACGACAGCACCAACACTCCCAGAAGGTGATTAGAGGGTAGCTTGCACATCTGTGAAGGCAGCATTAATTCAACAACATATGCTGCCATCTAGACACATCTTTTTCAGGGATGTCTATGCTTATTCCAACATGGCAATGCCAAGCTACATTCATGTGTTAACAAAGGCATGGCTGCTTAATCAGAGTGTGGGTGCTAGACTGGCCTGCCTAGAACTGTCTCCCACTGAAAACGTGACTTTTTAAGACTTTTATTTATTTTTTCCACAATTTTCTTCCCAATTTAGACATATCCAGTTCCACCCACTAGTTAGGACTCCCCAAATCACGCGATACCACCAGCACTAGGAGGGTGAAAGCTAGCACAGGCTTCCTCCAAGATCTGTGAGGCAAGCCACCACATCTTTTCAAACTGCCACTAATGCAACGTCATTGCACATTGGACTCCCGGCCATGTATGGCTGTAGCATCTCCAGGGATCGAACTCGTGATCTCCTGATGATAGGGCCAACACTTAAACTATGAAGCTCAGAATATGACCACAAAGAACATGTACTGTTGCACAGCTGAAGACTGGTATAGCTGAAGAATTGCCAAAAAAATTCTACTTTCAAAATTGGACTTATTGGTGTCTTCAGTCCCCAAATGATTATTAATTGTTGTTAAAAAAGTGATGTAACACAGTGGTGAACATGCTCCTGTCAAAGCTTTTTTTGGAATGTGTTGCAGGCATCAAAATTAGAATGAGCATAAATAAAAAATAATGAAGTTCATAAGGCAAAACATCAAACAATGTGTTTTTGTACTGTTTTCATTTTAATATAGGTCAAACAGAATTTACTAATCACTGCTTTCCCTTTTTGGAGATGGGTTTGTATGAACATGGCCATTGACTCATCTTATGACCTGATCCAGCAAACATTTCTGAATGAATCTACATGCGTGAGAGGAGTGATAACTCAAATGTAGTCCTGCAGTGCTTTTAATGCTTTCCTTGCTGATTAGCTAAGTAAACCTTCTTGACTGGAAACAAGCTCTGCAGTGTTCAGACCAGCCACCCCATGGGCAAAGAATGTAATACAGTTTTAAATGCAATCAGAAAGTAAGATTTAAAATTACTTCTTCATTTTGATACACACTCCAAGGCACATTTTAGACCGCCTACATTAATTGCTTAATTTTTTGGTACAATTAAAAAAATGCTGGCTGTATTTATTGTCATTAACTTATTGCTGATAGAGAAGTCTATCTAGGAGATATATAACAATAATATCAAAGCTACTAAATTTTCCCTTTACCCTTTAATGTAGTTGATAAGCCAAGAAATGTTTGCTGTTTGGAGTCATTAGTTTTACCTTGGAGCGTTGAGTCAACAAATACCAGAAGCTCATATCCTACCAATTAGCACAATATAATGTGTATGCTTAAATCATCCAATATTTCAAATCACAAATGAGTTAGTAAATATTCTTGAATAGATTTACTTATGTGGTGTCTGGCACTGTATGACATACTGTTATCTATTTTTAAAAATATGTTACATAAATACAGTAATAGCAGCAATCTTAAAACTTTGATTTTGTCTGTACTTTTGTCCATTTTCAAATGTTTGCTTAAATTAATTTTTTACTCAGCTATTCCTTTAAAGAGACTTGATAGAATTCAGCCTTTATGAACATCACTTTTGCACTTGCCGTCACAACAGCTGTGTAGACCACCATGGTTTCAACTGCTGGTTCAAGGGCATTCAAGTCTGTTCAACAACTGTGTTGGAGACCAGTCCTCCAAGACTGGAGCTGAAGACTCCTGCACTAGACCACATAATGTTCCATTTCTTTGAGACTAATCAAGCACAGTTTACAGTGAGCCCATTTTAATTCATGATGAGTGGTTCATGAGACATATGGCCTAGCAGTCAAGCTAGAACTGTGAGGTACGTAGTGATACATACAAAAGTAGAACTTTTGATCTTATGTATAGGGAAAAATATTTGTGAAGAAACTAATCTGCTTCTTTTACTCATTCATCTTCATCATTCACATTTTGTCACTAAATCCTTTTTTCTGTTTAACTTCTTTCTCTTCTGTTGATGACTGCTTTGCTGTTTGTCACACCTCTCTCTTTAGAAAGTGAAAACAGAAAACAGAAAAATAGTGCCTAACAAACTTTGCTTCCTGTGCTGAATGATGCTGGATGTACATTAAAAATTTCTACTGCAGTTTTATAGACAATGTTATGGGGGAATTCCATCATTTTTTCAAAGTTTCTGAATTAAATTGTTAAAATCAACAAAGTCAATGAGATTGATTTGATGTGAAACATGCCATTCTACAGAAACTTGCCAAATCACATATGTTCACAGTGCTGATAGGAACTAGACTCCTGAAGTGTTTATTACAGTTATTACATGAAATGCCTACAAATACAAAACCTCCACAAATATTAATAAATATCAACAAAAACCTTTATTAGAAGAGTAATGACTGAAAGAAAAAAATGCATCCTGTAATGATTTTTTTTAAACCTATTTGTGCCTTCATTGTTTGCACCCCTAGAAATTCTTATGAGTGAAATCTAATTTAGGTATATTCCCATTCATATTTTATGTTTTAAAGTTCACCTGAGCGATTAGGAACATTTTAAATGGTCAGCCATGACTTCCTGTTTCAATGGGGTATAAATAAGAGGTGAGACACAGGCCAAATACCCTTAGTCATCCATCACTATAAGAAAGACCTGAGAATACAGCAATTATATGCAAGACAAGACTGTTAAGCTGCACAAATTAGGAAAGAAGAAATTAGCTAAACAGTTGAAAATGCTCATTTCCACTGTCAGATCAACAATTAAGAAGTATAAAGCAACTGGAGATGTTTAGAATTTGCCAAGAGAAGGACATATGTCTACAGTACAGTACATACAGTGAGGAGGATGATTTGAGTGGCCAAAGAATCTCCAAGGATCACAGCTGGGGAATTGCAGACATTAGTTAGGTCTTAGGGTCAGAACATTTCCCTAACTACACTCTCAGAAAAGGTACTAAACTGTCACTGGAGTTAGGGAACATAATTTAACCACATTATATTGAAATTGTATTTATTATGTTGTATTGACTCCACATACCCTGTCTTAACTCCAGGCTTTTTATTTTATTGTTTTGCTTTGAAACATTAGGTTATCAAAAGGTACAAATATGTAACTTTAACCTAGGATTAAAATTATTTAAGGTTCACAATTGGACCTTGAACCACTGTTGTACATTTATTGTCTGGACCTTGATGAATGAAAAATGTACCTGCACAGTACCTTTTTTCTGACAGTGTACAATCAATCGCCACCTAAATAACCTCAAGCTGTTTGGGAGGAAATATTTTGAGAAAAATATTCATGATAAGATTTTTTTTTCTTTCAGTCGTTGTACCTCAAATAGATTTTTGTTCATATTCTGAATGAAAGATCACATGGGTGAGCCATAAAAAATGTTCTTCACAGACCGTTTTGGTCATGTTTACCAGGGGTGCCAATATTTGTGGAGGGCACTGCATGCAATAATTAGAAATATAGTGAGAGAGAGATAGTGAGCTAATGTTTTGACCTAAAACATATTTTTTAAATACAGACATACAGAAATGTATATGTAGGTGGCAAACCACTTTTTTGGGTCAGGCGTTATCACTATTTACTACTACTATTTACTACTTAAAGCTCATGTACGTTCACTGGTAAATAAAACGGCCATATTTGCTTTGTAGACAGTAGACTGTAAAGCAATCTGAGTCAGTATGTTCTTCACAGTACATCATTTCACACGAAACCACTCTTAATAACTGTCTTTAAATGAATGGTTGGTGCAAAAATCTTTTTTTTTTTTAATTTGGCAGAATTCTTCTTTAGTTTTATACTAAACACTTTTAGGAGACTACTTTTACTTAACCTGAGTCATTATTTTACCGCAACACCTTTTCTAATCGTGGATTTCAGGCTGCTCTAAACTTCTGCTCTTTAATCTCAGAACCGGTTTAAAGGCTAGAAACACACTCATAGCTGCATTAGCTACAGCTAATGCTACAAAGCCTGAGCACTGCCCCCTCGCTGGTCTACTGAGAAGAGAACCGGGTTAGTAGGTCAAAGTACTGAGGGAGTGTCCGGATGTTACATCAGAAGTGTTTGCATCATGTCTAGTCTCTTCAGGTATTTGAATGAGATTCAAGCAGCTGCCTCGAATATCTATCGCTGTATATTTCCACATAAGACAGCCTCCAAAGCTGTCAGCTTCTGCTTCTTTTCCGGAAAATCCAACTAGAGCCGTTAACAGTCGAACCAAGAGCTGTCAACACGCTGCCTTGTGATTGGCTCTAAAATGACGGATTCTGCAAACGGACCAATCGGAGCTTGTTGCGATGGGAGTCCTGCGCGAGCCCACGGCGATTATGCAAATTGACATTTGTCTCCTCCTCGCGGTCCGATGAGGGGACTTGAGGTTTGAGACTTTAAGGAAATTAGTAGTAGAATTTCAAAGCAAAAGTAGCCCACGGAGGGACGCGAACAAGCGCGGGACGTTTACAGTTGAAATGGTTCGCTCTGCTTTCGCGAGTCCTGCCTGAGGTCCAGCGCTGGTTGGGATGTCATGTCAGGAAGTTGCCAGAAGCCGGTGGTAGCGTGTTAGTGCGAACATTTTCGCCGGCCTGGGCTGTTCCCTTTGTCTGACAGGAGAGGCAACGGCGTGCTCTTTTGTTTGGGGTCTTTCTTTGTTTAACGGCAAAAAGAGGACCGTGTCTATTTTTGTGGAGGCTGTCCCGAGGTTGACTTGATTTTGAAACATGCAATACATGAAGAAATATTTCACAGAAGGTTTGATTCAGTTTACGATCCTACTTAGTTTGATAGGAGTTCGCGTGGACGTCGATTCCTACTTGAACGGATACTTCTCGCCGTTGATCATAGAGACTGACGGAGGGCCGAGCTCAGCGTTCATACAGACTCCGCTTCACCATTACCGGGACACGGCGGACGGTTATCAAGTGCACCCCAAATGCCCTGAGTTCGACTACCACTTGGTGAGCCGAAGGCTGCTGAATGAAGTCCGCGCTCTCGGCTCTCCGGCCCGCTTCCCCACTCGCCTCAGCGCGTGGCTGGTGCATCTGGTACCCGGTGGCCAGGAGCGGGACGAACCACAAGAGAACAGCGGGAACCAGGACGCAGGAGAGCTCAACGGCCAAAACTCTTCTGGAAACGAAGCTGACGATAATAATGCCGTGAGTTGACTACGAAGTTTCCTAAGCAGTAGCTAAGATGGCTAACTGACCTAGCAGGCTGACCAGGTAGCATGCATCACTTTGTTCGCCAGTTTGGTCACCTGTGACATAATTTAAATAAATTGGGCTTGACTTGGTTCACCAGAACTGCTCTGCGCACGAACGACTCTCTGAATTAACGTTAGGTCATAGCACGCTTTTTTTGTGCGCAGGAGAAGCAAAGCCGAAAGTGAAACGACGGTTGGCACGTTAACTTGCTAGCTAACAACTAACGTTGGCTAGTTAGCTAGCGAATCAATTAAACAAGATAAAGACCAGTATCTACAGAGTTACCTGTGTTTAATGGCTTGCTATTCGTTAGTTAGCTAGAAAGCTATGGACTACGAATACGCACTGTAATTCTCGGCTGAGTTTTTGGTTTTGGTCCTCAACAGAGAACAATGCCTGACATTGTGTGCAGTTTACGCTAACGCTAACTGGGCAGCCCACCTGTTATTTCAGCAGTCACTATGACAACAAAGTCAGGACAAAGTCGGACAACAGTTTTGCTGCTGTAGAGATGGATTGACCACGGCACTGGCTCTAAAACTACCTTTTATAAGATAGTGTGCACAGTTTTAATGTTTTAAACATTTATCTAGAAAACAAAGTTCATGTCAAACTTTTTAAAAAAATTAATAACCAGGTATACATTTTGAATGGTAAATACATGCGTTATTCAGTGGCACTCTTGCTCAAACGTGGATGTACCACAGGCTCTTACATAAGAATTTTTTTCTAAGGTAGGAGTGGTAGGCAGTTCATGTGATGGTGTCTTTTGTGGGGTTCTGGGTGATTAAATCAAGTCCAGGCAGAGGCTGAGCAAAGCCACTGTCTTTGAGTCACTTCTTGTAACTCCCTGAGGCAGATAAAACTCATAATATGCAAATCTTTCCCTTTTACTTTTTCATGTATGAAGCCCCAACCAGGAATTGCTGGGGTGGTACAAGTATCACCCCAAGGATGTCTCTTAAGTTTACTGGAAGAGTGAACCGTTTGTACTTTGTAGATTCCAAATTTAGAGTGTAGTACCAAAACTTGGCTTGTCAGTTGGAGTCACTCTTGACTGGGTCTTTAACAAAGATATATAAACTTTAGGTTCTTGGTTTGCACTTGCAGCATGTGTGAAAGCTTCCATACACTTGTGTGACTGTGCTGCACCTGTCAGGCATCCCTAAGCACCCACACACACACACACACTTGTCATGTGAACATGACCTTCGGAGTCTTGGAGAGGGAACACATGCATGCATCCATATGGATACAGTATGTCGGTGTGTTCTGAGAAAACTGAAACAAAAAGGTTAGGGGTGGCAGGGCTGGCTTCAGTATTCACACTAAAATATTCTTAATTCAATTAATGGCTCAGTTAGAAGTAAACGTACTGGGTATGCACCAGTATGGGAACTGTGGGCTAATGCTGATTAAATGCCTCTCACCTGAATGTTCTGTTTTTCCAGAGTACAATAAATACAGCATCAAATATTGGGTTGAAATACTAGTCAAATCTATACAGCCAGTGGTGGTAATTCCTTTTTTCAAACAATTATCTGCCAGATACCAATATGATTGCATGTGCTTCCATAAGAGGTGCCTACTAACCACCTGAGTAGGAGTGAAAAAGATTTGGTCACAAAACTTGAGTGGAGCTTAGTACATCAGCATAAGAACTAAGCTCTTCTTTTATGAAACATTGAAATAAATGGATTTGAGATAATTTAACTATCATCCTTCTTCTGGTTTGGTGATATCTTGTTATAGACTCCATTGACCTATGCTACAACTTGTACACAAATTTCAAATACAGAATAATGTGTACACAAATTTCTTCATGCACTCTTAAAGATGGTTTCTCAAGGGTCTCAAGGGTAAATACAGTGGTTCTATGTAGAGCCATGAACACTCAAGGAACCATTAACTTGCTTAAATGTTTCTTTGCATGGTGAAATGGTTATTCAGACTGATGGAGAATATGTTGTATATGGTTCTGTCAAGGGTTCTATATAGTACCAAAAAGGGTTATTCTCACAAACGTGACATCATAATAATAGCAGAACCCTTTTTGGTGCTATATAGAACCCTTTTAAAAAAAAAAAACAAAAAAAACAGAACCATATACAGCACATTTTCAATCATCCTGAAGAACCATTTCACCATGCAAAGAACCATTTAAGCATATCAATTGTTCTTTGAGTGTTCTATATAGAACCATTGTCTTTACTAAAGCACTCTTGAAAAACGCCTTTTTTAAAAGTGTACATTTAGCCTTGTAGCTCTGCAAAACTAAAAAAAACAAACATTTTAGACACCAAATGTCTCTCAGCTGATCGATTACATATGGGGTCAGAAGAAAATTGTTAATTAGATTTTTTGGACTATTGCTTTAAGACTTTGGGACCATTGCTTTAAGTTTCAATACTAATGTGGAAAATTCTTTACTTGAGCAGTGCCTTTACATGCTTCAGATCAGTGCCCATGCCAGCTTTGACTGCAGAGCAAGTATACAGTGGTTTTAAAACATTGATCATTCATGCCATTTAAATTAAGTTTAGCACAGTTTATGTTGAAAATACATGTAAATAGGCTATTAAAGTAAAAACATATGGTTTTGTGATATACATCATGCTTTATATGTGTCTGTTTCATACCCAGTACTGCAACAGACTATAAATGTTAATAATGCTGATTTTAATGGGTGCTCTGCTTTGACAGATTGGGTTTAATATGGGAAAGCAGATGATCCATTTCTTGTGCACTCATCCTAAATATGTCGGGCTCTGTCAAGGCTCATTTCAGCCTCAAGAAGATGGAAATCACCTTGTGCCTGTCTGTTAAGTTTTAGCGGGTGTACATATTTTACCACCACTTTTTTCTGAGCAGATACAGAGCAATTGCTCTCATGGTCATATTTCACTGTAGTAGGAAATAAGAATGAAATTAATTACATGATTTTAGCGAAAAAGTAAAGTAATTAACTTCTAATGGAGGTTTTGGGAGAACTTAACATTAGCTAACATTCTTGGAGGCAACAAACAGTCCAGTAATTAGAGAAAGTTTATTTTATCAGTTTTATCATTGCAAATTTACAGATCTCAAAGCTGTACTTGCGGTAAACGTGAGTGTTGTGCTGATCCCTTCTGTTTGCATGTCCGTACCAAGCCTCTTTTGTTGTAAAACAGGGCCCACAAGTACTGTCTTGTTGATCTATTTTCATAGTTTTATAACCTCTTTCTCTTTTTTTTCTACTATTTTAGGGGGCATGCCAAGCAGAGGAGGATGCTGTGAAAGATGAGGATGAAGAGCTCAGCCTTGATCCACTGAGCCAGCTCACTCATAGCCCGACGCTGGAGCAAGAGGTAGGTTAAGTAGTTTTACACTACATTTTATTCTAAGTGATTTATGTGGTTTTGTATAGAACAGTCTGTGTGTTTTTTAGAACTGTTTTAATATTATTTGCATATGTTGTGTGTAAATTTGTGTTTTCAGGGATTGTTTAGTAGCAGTGTTCTGCCTCCTCCTCTATCTGGGCTTGAGCTCCATCCTCACTGGCAGGACCTCCTGTCAGATTTTGATGTGAGTAGCTTTATTTATTTATTGTGTTTATGTCTTGATGTAATGTGACACTAAAGATAATAAACACACACTAAGACGCAGAATTTAGTACTACAAAATTCTTTTTATTTATTTATTTTTTTTACTGGGTATTTACTGGGTCAGCAACTTCATGATACAAGCAATATGATAAAATGAAAAAAACGCACTGCATATACAATAGATGTTTTTGGTCAGTGTTTATCTTAAAATAAATTATTATTAGGTTGAGGAAAATGATAATGACCTTTTATTAATGCTTACTTAAAATGTATTTAATGTAAGTTTCAGAAATACAAGAATAATGAATAATAATGGAGGGGTGTGTTCCTGTGTAATAGGTGATGTTTTATCTGTGGAGTTGTTCAGAGCACAGAGATGAGTTAACTGTCTACATGTAGCCTGTAGTCAGTGTTTGAGTGTGAGAGAGTCAGTGGCTGTAAAATTCAGTGAACAACTAAATGTTTGCCAACACATGCCACAGATCACATTCTGCAATGTGTTAGAGTAACATCAATTTAGTATTTAATGGTGTTACAACACAAACCAGTATTACAAATGCATATCCATATGCATACCTGCTAATGGCTAAGAGCTAATCACAGCAGGCTACAGATAATAACTTGCTAATACTGCTAACTATACCACATCTGTGAAAGTGAAACTAACTAAAATACACAGCTAACATGGATCACACATACTTTAACAACAGCAGACTATAAACTATAATACAAATAAATATAATATTAACTAATTAATAATTAGTATTTATTGATATTTATTATATATAATACAAAACGAATAATTTTCACACTTGAATGTTTCTCCTCAAATTGTGTCTCGCGGAAGGGTTGGACATAAAATACAAAGATACAAAACATAAATCTAATAAATAGCAGTTAAAAGAAGCTGACACTGGAGATCTTATACCATGAAGCTTTTACTTGCAAGTCATAGTCAAACACGCCTGATCCAGTTAGTCAGGCTCTTAAGGTGGCTTTGAAAATTACAGCCAGGTGTGGTTGAAACAAATTCTGTTGGTAGAAATCCAGTAGCAGGGCAGGACCAGCACCCTGATTTAAAACAAGGGCTTTCACAGTCAGTTTCTCAACATTTACTGCCAGCAGAATTCTGTAATGGGACCTCTAGCAGACTTGCCTTCAGATAATCAGATATTTATCTTTCACTTTCCCATAGCAGTGTAACTTACGACGTGTGCAACATATAGTCTTGTAAAGGAAAAAACTTTAATTATTGAAAGTGTGACTAGGGTACTAGCAGGTATGTGAAGCAGTGTTGACCATAAATTAAGTACTAAGTCATTTTGAGCAGTGATTCTCAGTCCTGGAGAACTCGTGGCCTTCACATTGTGGTGCTTTTAATGCTTCAAAACACAGCAAAACAGTTCTAATAATTGGCTGATTTAACAAGTCCTTCCTGAGCTGAATCAGGTAAGAGCAAAAAAAAAATCACTAAATTGTAAAAGGCACGATGACTCAAGTATCATGACTCAGAACTACCTTGTTTAAATTGTCCATAGATGATTCCAAAAGAATTGAAAGCAAATTATTTCTGAATCAATAGTGATTAGTCAGAGAGGTTTTAGTATTAAGCTGAGTTTGTGGATTGGCTTGGTGACTTTGTGTTAATCATAAGTGATATTTGTTTTATAGCTTATTTATGACTAAAGACTATATTTTAGCATCTTTACAGTTTTTTTAAAAAAAAAAAAACATGGTTGTTTGTTGTATTTGTGAAATGTGTGCTTCTGAAGTAAGGTACATCAGATAAATTGTTAGAAAAAGCTGGGAAAACATTTGTACATTCCACTAAATCCAACTAGTTAGCCTGCTTAGCGGTGAAAGCAGCTTTGTAGGGCACATCCTAGAGCGGTAGAGATGGTCAGTACATGACCATGACGATATCCATGACCATAGCGATATCCTTATTGTTGCTGCCCAAAGGAAAACATCTCCAAAATAGTAACATTACAGGAGAAGGCAAAAAAACATTCTCAATGTTTAATGCAAGTTAATGTAAAAAGGTTTTATATCTGTCCATTCATTATAAATTTTCAAACAATGTAAAGGATAACCAGTGTTCAAATGATGTTGAAAAATAAAAACATACAACACACAATGGAGACGTTAGGTTGGACAGTGACCATATCTAAATTTTGACATGAAACAGAGTGGCAAGATCTCAAAATAGTGGTTTAGTCTTTGTTGGAGGTAATTTGTTTTGTACATGTTGCTTTCTTTATGCATGCTGCATCGTCTAGATGTTATGAATTAGTCTGATGCACTTCTGGCTTGTTACTTTGCAGGCTTTTGACTCGTTGGTCCCACAACACATCTCCAATCTGGATGTGGATCTCCCGAATCCCATTAGCTATAATGCCAGCCTTCAAGATGCAATGGTAACCAGTGGTGGAGATTACAGACCAGACCCACAAAGAGGTGGATTACAGGCCACGTCTCACCAAAGAGCATCACTCTTCCGTCTAGAATCAACTAACTCGTCTCACTCAGACACTCCACCAGGAGCAGCGGGTGCTCTGCCGCTCCCTCTGTTCTCCTTATCAGGGAACAGCTCTCACAATGAAACCTCCCACTCAAGGGTGGGGGGTTATCTGGATGAGGCTGTGTTTGAACAGATAAATCTGTTGGGTCTGGAAGGACTGGGCAGCATGGACCCTCAGCTGCTAAACAGAATGGAGGGCAGTATCAATTCTCCATGGCTGGAGGACTTTGACTCAGACTCTGGTCTATCCCTGGAGAGCAGTTCCAGAAGCCCAGCCTCTACGTCCGCCTCATCGTCTTCAGATTCGTTTTGCGAAGATGAGGGTGGAGCCACGGGTTACAGTAGTGAAGTGGAGTCACTCTCTACTAAGGGAGGGGCCTGTGCGTCAGCATGCTATGACTGGACGCCAGTGGACCTCAGTGAGAACATCTGGCATGACCACACCTACTCACTCCAGATGCCTGAAGACCACACCCCTCACAGCTGGGTCCCACCTCTCAAAGGTATTAAACAAGAAGTGCTAAGCGAGGATGAATGTGAACCAGAGGAACTGAGTCGGGATGGGCGGCGCCTTCAAGCTTTAGGTCTTCCATTTTCCGCTCCTCAAATTGTGAACATGCCTGTGGAGGACTTCCTGGAGCTGCTGGAAGGACGAGGCCTATCCATGTCTGAGGTCACACTACTGCGGGACGTGCGCAGACGGGGGAAGAACAAGTTAGCTGCTCAGAACTGCCGGAAAAGAAAGTTGGACGCCATCTTGGGTCTGCAGGGAGAGGTGGAGGCTCTGGCGGCTCGGCGAGATGCCCTCCTACGTGAGAGGTCTCGGACTGCCAAGGCGCTTTCTGTTGCAGCAGAGAGTGTTGAAGCCCTTTCGCAGGACGTCCTGAGACAGCTGCGGGATGAGTATGGACAGCCCCTGAACCCAGAGCAGTATACAATTCACTGTGGCGCAAATGGACGGATAGCGGTCCGACCTCGCACACACACAACAAGAACAACCACTACAGGGGGCAAGACTGTGAAGAGGAAGAAGGACAAAAAACCCTAAGAGACTAGTTATATTTCTAGTGTGTATGTGTGTGTACAGAATGTGTGTGTGCTTCCTGAAGGGATATTTGGACTTTGTCTACTGAATTTTCTTTCCTGCAGTTAGCTGTCATGGGATATTTGTGGATCATTCCTGTTGTTCTTGGCTTCACAGGAGAATAGAAAGACTGTTGGCAATTTTATATTACAGCACCCTAGACTACAGTTCTCTGCTTGAAAGAATGTAGCAAAAACACTGGACATGTATAGGAGCGTCTCTAAGAGTATTTTTCAAAAATGACTTGGGGAAGACATTTATCCTTTTATTTTTTACTTTAGTTGTAAAAAGAAATTAATTATTAAGGCCCAATCCCATTTCTCCCTTTTACCCCTTCTCCTTGTTTTCGAGTGTCACCCTAACCCCTTGGAACTTAGTTATAAGGGGTAGTGGTTGAAATCCTGCCCTACGAAATGGGACAATCCTCAAATAAAAAAAAAAAAAATAATAAACCTTGCTTCATTAACGGGCTACTAGCGGTGCTCTGTGGGCAATCTGGCCCGTCTTCAGTGATAGCAGAGAAGGGAAAAGTTCAGCAACCTCACTGCTGGGCTTTAGTTACATTTAGGGCATCATATCCTTTCAAAGAGGGGGTATAAGACAATTATTTATTATCGCCCACCGCTAATTCTTTGCCAGGTTCTTGTTCGAATTTTCCTGTTCCACCTTAAATGGTGCAGCAGTTACATTCTGGTGCTTCAGGCATCAGAACTGCTGGACTATTTAAGGTGGACCGGGAAAGTTAGCTAGCTAGCTACTGAGACATTAGCATGCTATTAGTGGTTTTTTTTTTTTGCTTGTTACGAAGAAAACGACCATAATACACGACATTAAATGACATTAAACTAAGGTAATACAATGGTTATCGTAATTTTTTACCAGAGAAAATTACTTATATTTTTGGGTTTCTTTGGTTGCTCGCACAGCCATCTTGCCAGTTTTTCTTTTTTTCCTCATAACACTCTGTTTGGATGGCCATGTAGCCCTAACACTTCGCCCTTCTATCTCAACAAAAATTGGGACACCCTAACCCTAGACGTGAACGCGCAAAACAGAGGGCTAAGGGCTAAGTGGTAGGGGCAAGGGATGAAATGGGATTGGGCGTAAGTACACTTCTTTGCAACTGATGTAAAGATAGGAGTAAGAGGCAGATAGTCACTGGATGACTTTGCCAAAAAAAAAATCTCATGTGCATTGCTGTTGCTACTCTGAAAAGGTATGAACTTACAGTAGCCACAGTCAAACATGACTTTAATTTAATTTAGTTTGTGTAAATTAAACTTGACCTTATGCTGCCCCTAACTTCCTTCTGAAAGAGTGAATCATGCCATAATTAGAACCATTACAAGTTACTTGTAAGCAAAACATCAGTGTGTAATTTCACTGCTGTAGTCATCATAAACACACCTACAGGCACGATAGCTCCTGTTTCAGCTTTGAGACTGAAGGCAAAGCACCCTCTGGGTGGGAAGCTGCCTGTTAATGGGGCTTACACAATGATGTGTACTTACTACAGTGATTAGGCTCTCTCCTTGTTATGCAATTATTTTGTTTCCAAGTGTTTACAACCATATGACTGTTACTCTCTGGCCTTCCTCCGTTGATAATTCCACTTGTAGCTGTACTATTTCATATGATTTACCATAATGGGAACAATTTTGCATCTTCTGTTGGCCTTTTATTGACCTTTTGTTGTTTGCAAGAATGTGTGTTTTTCTTTTTTGTAATGTCTGTTTTTACATTTTTATTGCCAATTACATATTGTGTTTTGAATGAAAATTCACATCAGCTCAAACCTTTAGAAATATGCCTTGTCCCTGAAGAACACAAGAAGTTATAGACGTTTGCCTAAATCTTTTGGAGCTTTCTGAGTGGTGATTCTTGGTGATTTGTTCTACCTCATAACATGACCACTAGGTCACCAAAGTTAAAGAGAAAAGATGAATGAAATAGAAAGACAGAATTACCCCAACCCCTACTTCTTTGCTTTTCTGTCCAATGTATTTTAGGGGAGAGGGGGTGTTGATTTCTCCACATACAAATTATTCTTCTGAAAAAGCAGTGCAAGTCAAAATCATGTTCTGTTTTACTTAAGGATTTCCATAAGACAAATAAAGGAGGAAAATGAAGTAACTACCCTTCAGTTCTGGTTTCTGTTATACTCTGTTATACTCTCATTTAACATTTCAGTTTCTTTTATTGGACAAAGCCATCAACACTTTTACCTCACAGCAAGCCCCACCACCTCCATTTCATAGATCGAGGTTATACTATATGTTCAATTTTATTTTTTTGTTGAATATAGTTCTCCTTGCTTTAAAGGGGTAGTTTGGTTAAAAAAAAACACTTTTCCCCCAAACCCCAAATGTTGTCCATCAGCCAAGACGTGGTTGGTGTTTGAAGTTTATTTCTTCAGTTTGCACTGGAGCTATGAGGCTAATGTTGCTAATAAGGGTGTAATGATTTACAAAATACTGACTTTGATTAGATACAATAGTCAAAAAAGGTAATGATATTGAAATGCCCTGCATGTACCCCTCCACCATGAATGCAGGCCAAAACATCTAAAACCTATCAGAAAACAATGCTTCAGGCATCAGGCAACATATTCAGTACCATTTCATGTAATAACGTGAGGGAGCTTTAAGAGGCATTAAACTTTCCAGACGTCTGGTTCCCATCACCACCACTGTGAACAATTTGAACTCTGTAAGTTTCTCTACAACGGGGCATTCCACATCAAACTACTCTGAATGACTTTATTTACTTATTAACCATATAATTTACAGAAATGTAGAAAGTGAAATAACGCTTTAACACAGCAGCCACAAGCTAACATGCTAGTCACGACAAAACACAATAGGCTGCGATTTCCAGCTGTGGTACTGGAGGAGACTCACCTTTTTCCTGTTCTAACACATCTGAAGCTTATACCCTGCTTCAGCTTCTTGCTAACTGCAGACCTAAATAGTAACTGTTGTCTCAAAACCGTAATCCAAAGAAATCTCAGATTGCTTATGTGGTTACCTATAAAAAGGCACAGATGCACATCACATTACTAAATCAGTAGCAGCACGTGTGGAAGCCTGGGTTTTAAGGTTTTAGTAGTTTTAGGAATGAAGTTCATACAGTGCTAACTGGTGGAGTGAAATAATCAGCAGTGTAAGATCAGAAAAAGTGAGCTCTGCAGACGGGCTTCCGGCCCGGGAGTTGGAGCTCTGTGCCGTTTCGAGCCCCCTTCAAGGAGGGCCCAGTGGAGTCTTTTAAAACGGGCGGACCGCCTCGGCAGGGTTGATTGGTTGTACGTGAGCGCGCAGAGGCGTGGCCGGGCCGCGGCGCACATGTTTCTAACCCGTTTCCACCCGAGAGGAGAGGACGCTGTTGGCTGGCGAGGTGCCAGGAAAATCCCCGGAGAAGAAGTCCATTAGTTTACAGCCTCTTTTTGTAGTCGTTTGTATCCAAGGCCAAAGTAAGTAACTACTAAGGAAGACATAAACATGGTAATTCACGCTAAATTAGATTCCGTATCGTTAACTGAATGATGTATGTGGCTCGTTTCTCTCCGTCTTGTGTTTTTCTCCTCCGCTTTTGTTCACTTGTTTTCGCGCGCATGCGGCACACGCGGTATGAGGCGCGACATCCTCCGTGGTATGTGGCTGCGGTTCGGAATTTAGGCGACTTTATTTGTGTTGCAGTGCGTTTCAGTGCTATAATGACGATTTTCGAACAACATGATAGTAACGATTAGCACTGATATTTAACTGCCCTTAACTAAAAATAAGCTGTTCAGTTAGTATGTTTCGCACCAGCTCCCGCGCTAACGTTACTACTGTTAGCCGAGGCTAGCTTAGTCAGGTAGCGTCAGTTTACTTTGGTATTAAGTAATTAGTGTACTAGTAATGTTCGATACTAGCGCTGGTGTTATTTAAATGCCGTATAGCTAGCTAGTTCGTCTATGATCTAAAATGCATAACTTTAAATCTAAGATAGGTGCTGAAAACACTAGTACACACCGGTACCAATACAGGCCTTTTCTCAGTCTGGACGCGTTAGCACCATAGTTAGCATTAGCTTGTTAGCAACACAGCATCGTCTTCTCTTGCTCGGATAGAACACTATAATTCATTACTGGCTAGCTGTTCACTTCTAAAACGTGTTATTGATGCTGCAGTATGCTAAAATGGGGGGGTTGTTATATACGTAGCATTTTTTTGTGTGTTTAGCTAGCGGCAATTTGTCGTCCAGCGGCACTGTTTTTAATGGTTGCTGAGCTGTTCGCTTATGTGCTTATTAGTTAGCCAGCTAACTTCTCAGGGTGGAAAACCACCAGTCACTGAAACGTGTCAGGAAACCCAAAATATAATGTCAAATGCGCTTCAAACTATACTGCGGACCTCTGTTTGTGGCCACTTGAACTGACCCTGGTTAAATATGGTGCATGTAATGGCGCTATGCCGTGGTGTCGGGCATGGAGCTGAGCACAACCAGTTATTTATTAAAAAATAGACGTTCTGCAAACAGGGCATACTGTATATGAACATGTGTTGATGTACCTTTTGCAGGCTGAGATGGGTAAGAAACAGGTGAACAAGTCCAAAAAGGAGGTTGAGGAGCCAGAGGAGTTTGTGGTAGAGAAAGTGCTTGACCAGCGGGTGGTGAATGGCAAAGTTGAATTTTTCCTTAAGTGGAAAGGTTTTCCTGAGTAAGTATTCACCACATTGTGCAGTACCACTAAAAGTCTTATTTTCTGTATTACTGCACAGTTTTTAATGGTAAAGATTATGCAACCATGTCAAGCCATGGTCATATTGTAGCGTCGGCATAGAGTAAGACACAGGAGCGACCATGATTTCCACCATGAGAAGTGCTCTTTGTTAAACACTCAGGCAGAAAGGCACAAACCCACAGGGGAGGTCACCACTAGCCACAGGCTTCACCCTCCCAGTAGACCAGCCTCAGTACAAAACACACTAACTAAACTCATACTCTGACACAAAATAACACAGTTAACATGTGCAACTTAAACTAAAGCAGCAACATAACAATAAATAATCCTTTTTTAGGAAGGAGTGCGCCTACCTTGTGTCTCCATTTGCATGACCTTCTCCCAATCTTCTTAAAGGCAGCACGAGCCAGTAACGGGTTGCTACAATATACAAAGGCTCTCTGAATAAAGAAAAACATGATTTTAATTATTATTTGATATTTAAGATGATTCCCTTTTTGGAAAGCCTCTTGGGTTCAGTACCTGGAGTATGCTACTAATCATGGTCAGGATATGTGAGCAAGACAGTTCCAATTCTGGTTACTAGATTGAATTGTAAAGTGAATAATATATTGTTTCAAAGTTCTTGATCGTTCAAATGTGTTTTGGCAAATCTGAGATGAACACTTGTATTCTTCCTGATGAGTAGTGGGTTTATTATCTCTAGTATTAAATGATGGGCTAAGTTCATAATGTCGTATGGTTGTATGGATTGGATTTGTATACACATTCCTGCAGTACATTTTTGTTTTGATGTATGAGTAAAGACAAACCTAGTTTGTGTCCCATTGTGTGATTATACCTTACCTTTAGTGCCATAGTGCAGCCCTGGAGAGCCACATCTGTGTTTTCTGATCTTCAGTTCACTAGTGGGGCAGTGACATTAAATTTGAGATGTGATTTACTTACATAGTAAAACAAATGCCTTTCTGTCTTGACCCTAGACACTTAGACTACTGTAACCTCTCAGACACCTAACCAAAGTAAAAACAAAAAAAAAACCAAATATTAAACTGATTAGGAAAACTGATTATTTATTCCATATATTTATGTTCCTGCTTTGTTTACAGCAGGGGTGCACAACTCTAGTTCTGGAGGGCTTGTGTCCAGCACAGTTTTGAGGTTTCCCTACTCACACCTGCTAAACCTGCCAATTAAGTCAGTAAACTAAAGTAACAAATATAATCTGGTGCGTTTTGTGTCCAGTGAGTTGGTCAGTCACAGAACTGTGCTGGACACTGGCCTCCAGGACCAGAGTTGTGCACCCATGGTTTATAGTCTAAGTTGATTGGTTGCTACAAAGGTGTTTATATGCAAATCGCTTCAGAAGAGGCCTATTAGCTATATAGATGCCCTGTAGCTTTTTTCCTGCACACCTGTGTCAGGAATATGGAGTTTTAATAGATGTAATTAATTTCTGTGATGTTTATTCACAAAGCTTTTAAATGTTGTTCTTTCAGTTCTGATAACACATGGGAGCCTGAAGAGAATCTTGATTGCCCTGAGTTGATCTCTGCATTCCTGACATCACAAAAAGGTGTGGTTGAGAAACCAGACTCCAATAAGAGGAAGTCCTCTACAGATGAACCAGAGACAGAGGAGAACAGTGCCAAGAGGAAGAAGGAAATGGTGAGTATACAGCTGATGTTATATGATTGAATCTTGCGTGATTGTGGTGTGGATGTATAACATGGTCTGTTTTGCAGAGTGAAAAACCAAGAGGGTTTGCTAGGAATCTGGAACCAGAGCGGATCATAGGAGCAACAGATAGCAGTGGGGAGCTCATGTTCCTGATGAAATGGTGAGATAATCTGATGTCTAGAGAATTACAATTCCTTCAAGACTTTTTATCTGGGCGTACTGCTTTTATCGTGGATAACTGTATATTGTAAATCAGGACTGCTCAGTTCTGGTCCTAGAAGGAAGCAGTCCAGCATAGTTTGGTGATTTATGTTGGTGCATAATTCTGTTCATCAGTGACCAGCTTTATTAGGTGTTTTGGAGCAGTCTGTGCCCTTCTGTGCTGAATTTAACAATGGGACCAGAATTACTCCAGCTGTGAACTGTAAATGGTGAACATGGGCAGTAGGGGGCAGCACGCACCCATACAATTTGTGAAGTTTGTAGACTGGAGATGGCAAAGCTTGCAAAACATCTTTTAGGCCCTTTTTTTTTTTATTATTTATTTTTTTAAAATCAAAGTATGGCGTAGAGAATTACAGCTTGGGTAAAGCATGTCTCTCTCTCCCTCTCTGTAGGAAGGATTCGGATGAGGCAGACCTGGTGCCAGCACGAGAGGCTAACACCCGCTGCCCACAGGTAGTTATTGCCTTCTATGAAGAGAGACTGACCTGGCACTCCTGCCCAGAGGATGAGCAGCAATAGAGTTTTCCTATACTACATCTCCTTAGCCGCAACACGTTTAAGCTCTCTCTGGCTGACCCACCCTGTTCATCTCAGGGCCTCACCTGTGTTGAATGCTTTCCTACCCTGGCTTTGTGCTGCACTGTGGACAGCATTGATCAATGGTGCGTGTGTTTTAGTGTCTGGATTGGGCTGAAAGACTGGTAAAAGGAGGGTTGTTTTTGTTTTTAAACTGAAAAAAACTTTAAAAAATTGTTGCGAATATGACAGTGCTGGTTGCCATTGGTGATGCACTGGATTTTTTTTTTTTTCCTGTTAATGTCTTTGTTTAGCTGTAGTCTTCCAGTTGACCCTCGCCTTTGTGCATCCTTCTCTTGTGATGTTCAGCTTTTAATGTAAAGAACCCATGATACTATTAGATGATTTTATTTTCCACTGCATCTTTTGGTTCATACTTGGTTTTGAATAGCTGTTGTGTATATTTTTTTCTGTAAATATTTTTCAATAAACTGAAAAGGTTGTTCAATAAAGTTTATTGATCTTTTTAATATGCTGTCTTATGCTTGTGTCTGCAGCTGTGATTCTACAGGAAATGTCCATAAACCGATGAAGTTTTGTTGAAGCGTGTTGGAAGTGAATGTCATTCCAGAGCCAAGAGATTCCCAGTCAACTTTGGGACTTCTAGTAGGCCGTGTTTATATTCTGTTTTGAGTCCAAGCACAGTTAAGCCAGGTTGTCCCTGTTTGTCCTCCCTGTAAACAGGAATCCAGTGCTGGTATTTACGAAGCAGTTCAAAGTAGGAGACTTGATATAAGAGCAGTTTCTTCCTCTATTTATGCTTGGCATAGTCACTGCATAGCATGATTAGCTTTCCTGTTCCTGAGGTGGTTTGTGAATAGACATAGGGTTCCTCACTTAGTATCTGCTAGTAGAAGTGCCTTATTTTTTTAAGCTTTGCAGTGTGAAGATTCCCAAACACACTTTAAAGGATGCTCTCCATTGACTTCCATTTATTTTGGGATTGTCGGAGTTAGATGTGTTAAATAGAAAACTAATGTTTGACAGACAGATATTGTTGAGCAAGTTTTGTCTAGAAAGGTGTAGTTTATAATGGCATATAATTTAACTAACGATAACTAAATGACACATCAGGTTTAGCACAGGAGATCCCAGTCCCCACCCTATGGACGTTTTTGTGCTTTCCCTTTAGCACACATTCAACTTGGTAGCTAATTAACCACTTCTTTAGGTGCTGGGTCAGGTTTGTTTGAGTATGGAAAACAAAAGTGTGCAGAGCATGCAGTCCCCAGGACTGGCTTTAGAAACCTTTGGGTTAGCATGATGGTATTTTTTGTAGTGCTAATTTCACATATAAGCTTTACCACTTTGTGGTGAGTTGTTCTATAATTAGAAAAAAAAGAGCTCCATTTATCTATCTAGTGTCTACCTCAAGTACAAGCATGTGGCTCTCTAAAGCCCAGTTCTGTGCTAAGCTGTACTTAGTACTCTGTACTGAGAATATCCTGGATGAATTCTGATCAGGTTACATAGTTGGAAGAAATGCAGTGTATTTGTAAGAATAATGTTTTTGGAAACAACAGCTTTCTGGTGAGATGAACAAATGAGATTAAGACTTAGCTCCTTTTTAACTGTACACTGTTTCCACATACCGCTGTCAAACAGGGAAACAAGTCTTTGTTTTTGGCATGGAATAATGAGTGTTGAATGGTGAGAACAATGAGTGTCTTAGTACTTTTGTAGGCCACGTTTAGTAGAACAAAATCAAAGGGAGTCAAATGTTACTGTGATAAAGTATAGTAAACAGTATCCAACATTTGCAATGAAAGGTCTATCGTGTCATCTCGAAATGTGTGGACGGGAACTTGCCATTCCTCTTATGTACTGAAAATTCCATTTTAGAAATAGAGAAGCTGAGCACCACCAGTTTAACATTATTTTAACTTCCCTCTATGTTGTAATTCAAATATTTCCTACATGAAGGCTTTGAGTGAATGAATCATCTGACAAAACTCTGGGAAGTTCAAAATGCAGCACATGAGTGCAGTTACAGTGATACCAGCGCTGCAGTGCATTTTCTATATTCTGCCTTTTTTCAAACCAGTTTTGGACCACAGGCTCTCTTTTTAGACCAGTATTGTATCTGGCCTGTGACTAAACAGCTATGCAGCAAATAATGTCATATGGTCATTGACCTTTGTCTCTACTGGGGCAAGACTACATCTCAGGATGAACCTTATTAGCCTGTCAGTCATGTGGTTTAGGAACTGATAACTGATGCACAATGTTTCCCAACTAAAGTCAATTCAAGACCTACAAGTAACTCTACCTGAATTCCACAATATGAATGGTAAATACGCAATTGCTCCAAGGTTAGTTGTTTCCCCAAAGGTAATATAAGTATAAATGAGCACTTCATGGCGATGAAAAAAGTCAATAACTCAACCTCCCATATGGTGACTAAGTCAGTTTGTGGAGAAAGCCAGGATGACAACCAACAAGTACACAGATTTTTAAAAATGTTGCCAAAAGTTTTATGAACGAGAGCTTGGACAGCACATACATATAAGAGGTCCTAGACTACAAAATGAACAGAACACAATATAACTGAAAAATCACAGCTCTCAACCTTGCAAGAAGACATGAACAAGTGGGATTATGCTTTGGATTTATGCTTTTAGGATTATGATTGGAAGAAGTGATTCAGTTTAATTTCCACTTGCCAAGCAGCTAAGGCTCATGACTGAGATTAGAAGATGGACTTTGAACTTGTTTTCTCCTGTTTTTCGTCTTATATTTTTGCTGTACATTAAAGAGGATTTTCCCCTCTAAACTTTTAAAAAAATCTTTCAAAAAGTTGTAAAGTTTTGGTTGGATGTGAAATGTTCCATTCCAGAGAAATTGATCCCACTCAGAATTGTTCACAGTGGTGGTGATAAGAACCAGACATCTAAATCTTTTTAAGAACTACATGACAGAAAGCAGTTGCATGAAATGGTTACAAATATGCTGCCTTGTGCCTTGGACATTGTTTTATGATAAATTTGAGATAAAGTTTTGGCCAGAAAAAAAAAACACCTTAAAAGCACATCAATGGTGGTGTAGTACATGCAAGGAGCTGTAAAGGCAAAAAAAGCAGAAGACATGTAGATTCACTGTTCATTTTGGATAGTAAATGTCTATATTAGCATTGTAGACATTGCAACCTGACATCATGGTTCCTATCACTGCCACTTTAAAGAACAGTCCGTACGTTTTTCTACAATGAACCATTTTACATTAAACCAGTGGTGTAGGCAGAAATAAATTTTTGAGCAGGCCTGTGAAAACATGGGCAGGCTAGTTTGGTAGATACAACTTCCAGATGTGCTCTGACTTTACACCAAGCTGTAGCCTATCCATGACAGCCGTTCAGTTATCACCCTAAACAAGCCAATGATTCTGCCCTGTGGTGATATCACATGGATTTACATAAACATAATAAGCACTGCAACACTTCACTATAAATTGTCCAATAAAGATGTCAGCTGAGGTGTGCAAAGACGAGGAAAAACAACACAATGTACGTAGCGTTAAAAGCCTAAACCTTACAAAGCCAAAAACATCTTGCTATGGCAGGCATAAAAAAATGTCTCACGTTTGATTCACCGAAGTACCCTTGACGGTGGATGTTTGCTTTGACATTTTCACAAAGCCTGTTTCAGCCTATGTAGTAAAATGGACAACGGTGTTTTTTTGGCTTCGGATGGATAGAAAATGACAGGCTCTACTGATGGAATCTCATGTTTATGTGACCCAGCTACATCTTTAACTGCAACTGAAGCTTCAAACACCGGCACACTGATAGGAACTGGTGGCTTGAGGTAATGGCGGACAGTTAAGCATTGATGGCATCATGGAAGACCATTGATGGAGTTTTCATGTAGTTTGGTTTGTGGTCGTGTGACAGCAGGCAACAACTACTTGACATAATAAATATTCTTTCCCTATTTGACTGGGAAGGCCTGTGATCAATCTTGGTAGGCCCTACCTAGACCACACTGAATGTCTAACACCAACTGAGTTATGCAGAAGAAATCCATGGAATTGCTCTATAACATCAGCTATGGATCTATGTAAATGTTTTTAAGTGAATCCAAACAGCCTACATTAGTGTCAAAATTCCTTCAAACGGCTGGATTGAGGAAGTGCGTGGACAAATTTTGAATGCCTATATTATTAAAAAAATAGCAAAGCTTTTTGATGTATACATTAGATGACAAAGGAAAGGAAGCCTGACATACACTGTGTGATTTTAGCCTATTTTTAACCCAGTCGTAAAAAAATCCTCCAACCTAAACTAACTCAGCAACTGCTGTATATGTAAATCTAGTACCATAGACTCTTCCCACTGAATGCAAAGGTCAATATTCACATCCTGGTAAGGGTACATAGGTTAATCCTTGAAGTATTTCTGACTCTGTAGGACAAACTGGTTGCCCTGGGGAGACTTGTGTGTGTTGTGTGCAAGATCTGACAGAAAAGGTAGGATACATTCAGTCATGGACAATGATCCATGTTCACAGCATTTTGTCACAGTGTTATATTTCACACTAAGAGAAATGTTTTTTCACAACATTTGTGGTATCCAATAAATGTCTCTTTTTGTCTGTGTTCTTCACTATTTTGTTGGTTGGTTTGCTTCTATTAATAACAAATTCAAACATCACTTTAATGAAAATATATAGCGAAGCATATAGCTTCACTGTAAAGATAATTGCCTTTACAATTACAAAATGATGTCAATGTTTTTTCCAATTGAGCTGAATCAAACAGGTATGCAGAAGAACAAATTTCAGGAGAGCCACCGTGTCTACCAAATACTTGAGAGGCCCCCCTGGAGAGAAAAGTAAACCATAACCAGAGAGGAAGCTTAACAAAGCAGCACAGAACCTCTACAATAACTAAAGAAATACAGCAGCCCATCATGGAGGAACTGGGCCAAGAGCAACATGAAGCGAGGTAAAATAAATTATATTCCAGTGTTGTGCAAGTCAGAATTATTATAATTGATAATGTGGACTTAGAAGGAGGTTACTAGGTGCATTGTAAGATACAGGCGACAGGTCACATGGAGGAACTCCAGAATTGCATAGTGTATGTTCAGAATTGACTCCAGTCTTTGAATCATATGGACAAAGAATATGTAACATGCTGTCCTTCAGTCTCCATCAGTTTTTGTGTGGTTTAACATGCAGGATTTGGCAAATTGCTGTAGAAGTGCTGAATATGTATCAAGTCCTTGTGTTTATTGACTGAGTTTTTAATTGATGTTGAAAATATAGAGCTGACTTTGAAGCATTTGACTGTCTTTGAGGTTTGTGGTTGTAATTTCACAAATGTATAAAGAGCCCTCATGAGGTTTCTCTTATGAGTTCATGTGTGATGACTGACTATGTCATGTTCCTTTTTACTTGTTGCCTGCTGTCACACTGACCACAAACCAAACTACATGAAAACTCCATCAATGGTCTTCCATGATGCCATCAATGAGTTTCCAAACCACAAAGTCTGCATAATGATGATTGGATCTAAGTCAAACGCTGCACCCTATTCCCTTCCATTCACTTTTCCTTCCTCAGTTTGCTTTTTTATTCTCTTTTCCTTCCTCAGTTCGCTCAACAGATATTTTCAGTGATGTAATTTGGACTTTATGAAGCATTTCATTTGCTAAAGCATACAGGATTATTCTGCATTATAGTGATGTGGCTAAGTTTTTTTTGTGGGTGCAAATCATGCTTCCGATTAACGACTGTTGTTCAAGGTGTGATTGCAAAACTGTAGTAGGGGAGAGCAGTCAGAGAACCTGGGTGGAGTTTTGTGCAGCTTCTGCTTTGTGCCAAGTCCCCATGCTTAATATCCAAGAGTGGACATAGTAGAAATAAGGAAGAATTAGGAGATAGGAAAGTAGTGTGGTGCAAAAATCCATAAAGCAGTCAACAGTAGTGACAGGTAGAAAATAAGGTTGCTTGTAGGGGGGATTTTCATAAAAAATAAATTAGCTAAGGGGGGAGTTCTAGGCATATTCTTTCTCCAAAACTTCAATAATTGCATAACTCCATTTGTTGTTACAGTGCCTGAATCATGTGCAGCCAGAGGGCAAAATATATTGACTGACCTGTACATTTCTCTTCTTCATACTGGGAAACATCTAGTGCTTTCAAAGATAGTCACTATATCTCAATATCTAGTGAACTATCTACATAGGCAGACTTTTATGTCATCAAATGTGTATCCTTAAGACAATTTCAGTTCTTATGTATCATAAATAAGCTGACCAGTGATAAATCTTATGTATTTTTTATCAATAAGGCAATGCCACAATGCAATAACACATTTTCTTGAATAATTGAATTCAAGATGGCAGGGTGAGGCCCAAATAAGTATAGCAAGTTGAAAAGCTATACTAATTCTTTTTTTAAGTTCTTCGTACCTCAAGAGAAATTACAAATTAGCATGGCTATTGTTTCAAATGGCCAGCCAGATAACTAACATGTCAGCTTATCTAACAGGTGTTAGGAAGTTGCAGTCTTGTCAAATGTTATTTGCTAGATAACTTTATTGCGTAAGGTGGTGATGTAACAGCTCTCTCGACAGTGTGTCTCAATAAGCAGTTTTCTAAGGCTCCATGTTTGTTAAAACGCTGACTGCTTAGACAGCTGCCTATGCTGTGGAGAGCTCAAGGCAAAGCAAGGCATGTTTATTTATATGGCACATTTCATATACAATGGCAATTCAGCATGCTGGATTGGTTATTGTCTGGATTTAAAAATGGCTACATTTGGAGCACATTTAGATCTTCTGGCAGTTTGCTCTAGTTATATGCAGCAAAACAGCTAAAGTTTGCTTCACCATGTTTAGTCTGAACTCTGGGCTCTACTAGCTGCCCTGTATCCATGGATCTAAGAGATATATTTCGTTTATATTATTTAAACATATCAGAGATGTTTTCTGAACTTAAACTATCTATTGACTTATAGACTAGTAGCAGCTAGTTAAGATAGCACACTAAGTAGCTAGGCAGTCCATTTACATTTATGGCATTTAACAGACTTACAATTTGATCAGTTTACACAGGTAGACCAAGGTAGTGTGAGGAGTCTTGCCCAAGGACTCTAAATTGGTATAGTGTAGGGTGCTTGCCCAGGTAGGGAATCAAACCCCAGTCTACAGCATAGAAAGCAGAGGTGTTACCCACTACACCAGGCATGTCAAACTGGGAACCTTCCAGGCTTCATGAAGGCCTTGCTAATTAGCTGATAAGCTGAATCAGGTGTGTTTAATGAGACAGTGTGCAGGAGTCTGCAGTGTTTTGGCCCATTAGGATTGGAGCTTGACATTGGCACTACACTATACCAGCCATAACCATTTGAATAGTCAGAGGTGAAAGAGCTATATAGACAATCTGTAGATACCCTAGACAGATGTAATGAAAATGGAAAAACTATTCATTTACTATTCATATTTGCATGCAGCATCCACCAACTTTTGTGAAATTTACAAGAACAACCTTGATATGTTTTTTTTTTTTATTGCTGGATAGCACAGTGTTTCAAGTATGAAAGTATGCAAAGGGCTGTGAATATTCTAGCTGAATTACCAATTCAACAGACTTTAATGCAAATCACATTTTCTGCTCTGTTTTACATGTAAGCTATGAAGTGAAATGCAGCAAAATGCTGAATGCAGTGTACTGGAACACGACCCAGCTGAAAGGTCACGCCCTGTGAGAAACAGAACCATGCGGCAGACACTAGGGGTGACGGGACGTGATCTAAAATGCAGAAAACAAAACGTTTCAAGCACATAATAGGAAAAAAAAAATCATCTAGCTTACAGATGTATGCTTCATTTAATTTACTTGAAGCGGCGTCTTGAGTGGTACAACTGATTGCAGAAGCATGGGATCTAAAGGTGTCCTAAAGGTAACTAGTGGTGTCCAACTAACTAATCCCATCAGTTTTTAATCCTGATGGTGCTAACTGTCTATTTTTCAGTAGGGAAGCTTCATGACAGTACCGTCTGCCCTGTTTAAAAGTCGAAAGTGAAATGTTATGGTGAGAAAATGGACAGAAAGCTGTTTAGCTTTCCATCTCATTTCCTCTCGGGAGCGCGCGTGTCACAGTCCGCTCGAGACTCAACGGTGGTTCAGCACAGCCCGTCGAGGAGAGGAGAAGAACTTTAAAGGTGAAAAAGCGATGTTTTCTGTGGTGGTTTTGACCTGTGCGGCGTTTGACATAGACGCTAAACGACGTAGGTTTTACAGTCGAGCGGCGTTTCCTGTGTTTGTCTGAGGAGGGAGCTGCTGAAAGAGCCGAGTTCCGATGTTGTTTAAGAGCTAGCAGGTAAAAAGACAGAGACCGCATTAATGTTGAGTGGCGTGTGCTGTTGGAGATTCATTTGCGAATTTGACGTTTCAAATGTACGATTTCACGTTCGAATGTGTTAGTTTCTGTCAAACGGTACGCTAATATCACGCGTAAAGTTATGATTTTCCAACTATGACTTGGATAACGTTGCACTTAAAGCGATATTCCGCCAAATTTTAAAAATTTCTGAATAATTTAGTCTTTGATATGTAAACGGAGTCGTTCAGACTGGTTTGACGTGAAATGGTTAATTTGTAGAGAAACTTACAGACTCTGATTTCTTTACAGTGACGGTGATAGGAACAAGGGGTCTATATATATATATATATATATATATATATATATCCACTTTATTTACTATACACAACCACCTGCACGTGTCTTTTGAGATGTACCCTTCCGCCAAAATGAATTAAAATCAATAGATTAAAATACATTTTAAGCCAACCATTTCATGTAACAACTTTCTGTGAGGGAGCTTTTAGAGGTGGACGTGGTTTCTATAACCACAACTGTGAACAGTTCTCGGTAAGTTTCTCTAAAAGAGAGCATTTCACACCAAACCACTCTGAATGACTTTGTTTACATCTTAACCATTTAATTATGCAGAATTTTTAAAAAAATCGGTGGCGTTCCACTCTAAACGTCAGGCATCCTATACAACGTAGTCTTACAAAAAGCTGTTGCATACAAAGCTGTATTTTAATGACTTGCTGAACAAGGCGAACTCTGTTCCCATCCAGACAACATGAGCAACATTGACTGCTGACCAGATGTTTTCTTAGGGGTCTGGTTGCATGTAGTGAAAGGTTTTATGATGTTCATGCGCAGTAAGTTTCATAAAATAACATGGAGGCCTGAACTCTTATAAGCACGAGTAATGTTGTAGTCAGTGCTGTGTGTTGGGCTAACTCTCTGCTATCTACACATAATGCCTGTTTTGATGTTTTGAACTGATTCCAACAGAATCAGTGGGAAGTTTAGGTTGATTAAACTTACTTAACAGTCAAAATGGTGCCATATCTTGCTAGGCAAGTCACCAGAATTGGGTATCTGAGGTTGACATATGCCACAGGCCACTAGTAATACATCCTCTCTGCCCTTAACAGATGAACAGACATAGCTTCTCCTTTTCATAGCTTGATTTGATGACAGTTTCATGGTTGATATGGGCTTAACAAATGAATTTATTTGGCTATAGGACAGTCAGTCCTGTCAGGCCATGATTTTAATTAGATGTGTTGTTCTGAACATGAACTTTATAAAATATGATAAATATGATAATTTTCTGTGTCATCTTGAAAAGCAAAGGTTTGCTAACCTAAATGACTCAGCATTTCAAGTAATCCACTGCAGTGAATTAACAATAGATGGTAGATGGCCCGTTCGACATGTGATGTTGAGGGGAGCCAAAGTGGCATTTATGTGGCATTTAAACTGTCTCATATTGTGAGAAAACCTGTTGTGCAAGGTTAACTATGTGTTGACTGAGGATTGTGGACACAATTGGAAGCTGTGTAGAAGATGGCTTGTTATTTTATTATTTATTTATTTTCTCTGTAGTTTCTTTTATCTTATTAAGGGATCCATGTGCTGAGTGACATTGACAAATTTCAGTATAACAACATTTAGCATTTTTATGCTTCCTCAGCACTGGTACTTGGGGATTACAGATACTTTATGCTAAAATAATGTCTTAAAATCTTGAAGAGTTTGTTTTGAATCAACACTTTTGTTCTGTTCCGCTTTTTTAAAAATTCTACCAAATATAGTCATGATCAGACAGTAACATGTTTTTCCATAATTACTATTAATTTAGTTTTTATATTTTTAAACAGGTTTTTTATTTTTTTATTTTTTTTAATTAAAGCAGCTGGCAAATGGCTTACACTACAATGAATTGTTAGGTGTTGGATACCATGTGGAAAGTACACAGAATAGAATTAAAACGTTACAGACAAACAAACTCAAGGAACACTGCTATTTTATGGGATTTATTGAGCAGAAATAATGTTCGTTGTCAATCATATTGCTAACAGTATCACTAAAACTAAAAAGCAATATCACGATATGCCAATACCGCAATGTAATGGTACGGATGATATATCGCCCAGCACCGCTAATCACTCTTCTTACTGTTGTTGATATCTTCATAGCATTATCAAGGTGTAGTAATTCAGGACAAATGCCCTTACTGCTTACTAGTACATTGAATTGGGACATTTTGTTATAAGTAATTATTATCAATTACTGCTTTGATTTGTGAGTTTTGGTAGTTATTGTTCACTCCATTAAGAAAAGAACAACACTGCATCTTCTCACAGCTGTCAAGCTGTCATTGCAAATTCATAATGCATCTTGTTCTCAGTCGTTGTCACTATTACCAATACCCAAACCACTGGCAGTGATTGAGTACTTTAGTGGCAGTTAGCCCTGTCATAATCATTGCATAATCACCTAATCACAAATTTTTGAGAAGATCAGTTATTTGCTGACTGCAGTCACTATCCACAGTCGTTAGATTTCATATTAAACTGCAGCAAACAAAGTGTGAATTGTGTGCATTGGACTGAGGCCAGTTATTGTAACTAAAACAAAGTTTTGAGATTTCATGGGGAAAACAAAAAACTAACATCTGACTTGGTGCTCTAACATGTTTAAAGGGCAGCACTGAGTAATGTTTGTTGATTTGTTAGCTGTGGAGCTAATTCTGATGTTTTTGGCATATGTTGTAGAAGGAGTTGCTTGAGTTTTCACTTTCTACACAACACACAATTCTATGTAACTGTAGATGCACGAAATTGATTCGACAGTACATCCAATGTCAGCTAATAAGTAAACATAGCTAGCAAGTAAGGTGACTGATAAGCCAATTTGGCCTCTTTAGGCTTGTATGTTAATAGTTGCAAACGGTGAACAAGAGAAGACAATTGAATAGTTAATCACAGTTATTTATATGACAATCATCAGCCAAAATTTCATGATTGTGACAGCCCTGATGTTTGATGCTAGTTTGAAGCTAGTTTGATGCTAGTACTGATATCAGTGTGTCTGCGTGGCTTATGACTTCCTACGTCCACATTCAGCTTCATGAAAGAGGTCTTCAGTCCAACCTTAGCAGTAAAGCTCAGAAATGACCGTAAATATTGTTCCTACACGTGGTTGATGAATCCAGGCCCAGAGCCCCTTTCAAATCTAATTTTGCATCAACATGGGGCGTTTAGGTCTGCTCACATGTATTAAAAGCTTAATTTCTAATCCTCTTTAATTTTTTTTCCTGTTCTCATTAAAGCTTCTCATTGAGCATGTTGGATGATTAGTGGTAGGTGATCTGAACCAGATCCTTTTTTCTTCTTTGCTGACCAGCAGTGTCTTTCTGCCTTTTTCAGCCAAGCCCCTGAAATGGAGGACACAATAGACAGTCTTACAAAGAAGGTACCATTTTGTCTTCTTATTATTCAGAATAATCATAGTTACAATGTTTGTCAAGATCACACATTTTTATTAATGACATTACAGTCTCTGTTAGACATTGAGGTGTTTGACTCTAAGATGTGGATGAAGCGTTAAAGCATTTTTCTCCTGTTCTGAGAATTGCCAAAGAATGCATTTGACATGTCATTTTCTTTGTCACACTCTTGAGTGATGACAGATAAATATTGTAGTTCGGTGAAACCTAAGGCACGCAGATATGATTTTTTTTCCTCTATCCGTAATCTTCCTGGTGGAGGAAGTGTAAAAATTATTTTGGGTTATAGTGTTAAACTATGATTGCACAAGAAGACTGTATATTTTCCCTCGAGAGGGAATTTACCTGTGGTAAACATTTTAAGTTAGTGTGGGTCATTTTCCATTGTATTAAAATATAGTTATGAATGAAAAGTAATACTTTGGGAGTTGAACTTCATATCTTTACATATGTGACTACATAAATAACAAATTTCTTTTGTAGTAATGTTTCAGGAGTTTGTTGAAATTTGAGTTTATTTTGAAGTTTAAATAATCAAGTACAAACATTTTTAAAGTGGTATTGGAGAAAAGAAGTGTTCTTCCCACAGTTTCCTGGCAGAGTTATGAAAACATTTAAGATGGCAGAGAAACTTGTAGTTTCATTTTTAGTGGAAAAACCTGCTGTTGGAAAGAATTGATTTTGTAACATGGTTGTAATAAAAGAAGTTCCCTCACTAACCTCTACTGAAATGTATTAAGATGTCAGATTCCCTTTTTTACCAGATCTTGGTGAGAGTAACCATTGGCTCAGTGTGGTGTTTTAAGGAATAATAATTCTCTTTTAAATCTCATTCAAAGAAATGAGGAAAGTTGTAATCATTACAAGGCTAATCCTTTGTTCCTGTAATCGATATAATGCCTACAATTGCAACATCATCAGTTTTTTAGTGGGATGCTTGTGAACTGCCTGTAGATGAGTTTAACCAATCAGAAGCACACATGTGCTTTGACACAACCATGGCTAACTGGCGGTCCAGCACACTATGTTTAGCCTTAAATCCTCAAGCCAGAAAAAGTGAATATGCTGGTCTTTTTTCCAGAGACCCCTCCTTATACCATGTTTCACTCAGAAATACATTATGATGTGTAAGTTATGATTCGAGTCACGATATGCATAGATGACTCAGTGACTCAGAAATGTACCAGTGTACCGACTTAACTAAACACACACACTCCCACAAACTGTTCACACTCATGCTCATGAAATTCTCTTCTGATTGTGTTTTAGGAGTTTATAAGTGTTTGGGTTCGGGATCCTCAGCTTCATAAGGAGGATTTCTGGCACACATACATTGACTATGAGATCTGTCTTCATGTGAGTCCAAACCTATGTATGCCTGCATTAAACACCCTCCACATTTCCTAAGAAAAAAGTACTCAGTACTGATCTCTGTCTGCAGCCTGTACAGTGTACAGCCACTACCCATGGACCGTAATGTAAGAACGGATCACCTATTGACTCACAGTATGCCTTTAACAGAGGCCAACTGGCACATCCTTCAGCACTTTCAGCATCTGCCCATTGGCTTCTATTATTTATGTCTTTTGAGTCAATGAGTTTTATATTCTCTTGCTAAGCTTAGGGAAATATCAAAATTATTGCCTGTAGTTATTGACTGTACAATATAGTTTCAGTGGAAATAGATTATAATGAGGAGTGCTATAGTATTGCTTCAAGGGAATACCTTTCAAATAATCAACCATTCACTGACTGGGTCAGTGTTGACTAACCTGTTTTATTCAATTGCCCACAGTTATCACTATGCATCATTAATGATCATTCACGTCATTGCATTTTCTGGGCTTTATGTGCTGTTTATGTGTGCAGACCAATAGCATGTGTTTCCGGAAGAAGACCTCCTGTGTGAGAAGAAGGTACAGTGAGTTTGTGTGGCTCCGTCAGAGGTTACAGGACAATGCTCTGCTCATGTGAGTACACTGATGGCCAGCACTGTGCTTGATTCATTTCTTTCTTTGTGCAATCATTTTGTCTGATTGTACATCTGGGAAAAATGAATGACTAATTATGTGGTATTTTCAGTTGGCTTTGTTGATGGTCAGGGTGTAACATTACATACATTTTGTGATATGATTCCACACATAAATATTGCGATATGATTCATCACTTGGTTTATGATGCATTTTTCAATACAGGAGTAAAAATAAAAAGCTGAAATTCAGTTTGCTTTTATTGTTTGGTCAGTTGTTTGGTGAAAATATTATTAATACAAATAAGTAATTTTCTTAAAGACGAATACATTAAAAACAAAAATATTGAAAACGATTTTGGGAACAGGGGAGTTTTTTTTTTTTTTCCCCAAACTTTCCATTCCTTTTATGGATATTGTTGTGTTTTTAATAGAACCGTGGACATTATTCAGATTTATATCAGTATATCTGTTATCATTATTGTTTATAGCATAGAATATATCTATGTTCGGTTGACAGTGAGTATTGTCTCGTAAACCCTGTATCTGAAAGAATTAGTATGCATATTGTAACACGTTCATTTCACTTTATGCTGTTTCTTTGTGTGTCCTCAGACAGTTGCCTAAACTGCCCCCCGCCAATCCGTTCTTCAGCCTCAACAACGCAGACCAGGTGACCCAGCGTATGCAAGGACTGCAGAAATTCCTAGATGGGTATGTGCGCCAACCTCTCTTTTTGTCTTTCTACTTTCATCTTCTTTTTCTTTCTAGTCTCCTGACTTCATCAGCCCTGTCTTTTTTTCTCTACTCTCCTTTATTCAGCTTCGGTTACAGACACCCCCAAACCTCTCCTCTGTTTGAACAGGCTTCACTTTTGGCCTAAGTTATCTTGCTAACAGGAACCCTGCTTTGTGAAATATCTCACAGGTCACTTATACTGGTGCATCAAGCTGTAGAAAATGTAGTGGTTTTGCCATCTAGTGGCTGCTAAAGGGATACACCAGCTTCTTATTAATCCTAATTGTACTTAATCCATTGATTTCCAGTTATTGTATAGAACTTAAAATATCTTCTGCAACTTTCAAGCTAGAGGAATCCAGCAATTTAACCATACATGCTAATGTTGCTAACAATGAATGAAAGCAAGTTGTCATTAATTTGCATGATTTCATTTGAATAATACTAACCGATACTATTCATTTAACTATCCCTTATCATGACGTGTAAAGTTTTCATTTCGGAAGTTGCTTTGTGGCTTCCTAACGTGTCTCCATTTAGTTGTAGGTTTAAATACACTTCAGATCTTCAAGTGATTTGTCTTGTGGTTCATGTTTGATTTCTGCAAATTCATCACTAGTGGAGAAGGTTTACCTTAGACGTGTGGTTTTTGTGTGTAGAGTGTTGCAGACACCGCTGCTGTTGTCAGACAGTCGACTGCATCTGTTCTTGCAGTCACAGCTGAACATTGCAAAAATGGAGGCGTGTGTGCAGGGCCAGACACGCTACACAGTCGCCCAGGCCATACAGCGCTGCGTATATGAGACACGCTTCCCTCACGAGGAGGACAGCAAGAGTTACTGCGATTCTGATGGTGAAAGGTGTGTGTTTTTACATTACTGATTCACCCTGAATTCAGAATGAGTTGTAAATATGCTCTTGATTCATCATGTGAGCAAATTAGTTTATAGAAGATATCTTAGCATTGGCTTTACAGGTGGAGGAAGTTGCTCATATGACTCTTTTTGCATTTCTCATGTGTAAACATGTTCAACAGTATTGATGTAACCAGGGCCTGATTAAGCCATTTTGTGGCAAATAGCGTTTTGTTGATTTTTCTGTAAAAATTAGGTTTCAAATGAAAATAAACAGGATAGAGGACATTTTGTATGTGGCACTTAAAGACAAAGAAAAGGCATATTTTCAGTGCACAATTTGTATTTATTTGCTGAATTTAACATATTGTAAAACAATAAAATGAATAAAATGTCATAAATTTTACACAATAATAGGTAAAATTCAGAAAATAAAGAGTAATTGTGCATTAAAATGTAATTAAAATGTGCAGAAGTATATTCTTTGTAGAGGATGTGTGCTCATTTTCAACAGATGATGTAATTTGATCAGGGGCACCCACATTTTTGCGTGTGTATGCTATATAAAATCACAACTATATAACAGGGTTGCCAATTTTGGTCAGGTGACTGGAGTAGATTTTCAGGTGGTTGGATTGAGACTGGAGAGTGATGATCAACTTAGTATGCACAAGTGCATGTCCGTTGTTACGCTGCTTAAAACACTAATTTGAGCCATAAATCATAATTAGTGTGTAGAACTGTGGTTCTCAACCCAGCTCACCACTCACACATGAGAGAGAACTCACTCGGTGTCCGCTCCATCTTCTTTGCATTCTTACAGTCAGAATTTCCACAGTAACCTTAAAATATTTTTTTTTTCTATCAGATTACTATAAACATGCCTTAAACTTAAAAATGATAAAATAAAGTGTTTGAGATTAGGAGACATACATTTTTGATAGAAAAAAGAGTATTAGATGGTAGCCTTGGCTGCAGATGATGAGGAGACAAAGTTAAACCAAACAGGAGTTTGAACTCAAGTGTATCAATAACTGAGCTGAGGAACTGTGTGTTGCGCTTCTGAGATGGAGAGGTATCTAAATGATCTAGGAGTGAGAGAGAACCATGACTCTCCAGTTAGTGATCTTAAAAAAGAGTGAAACTTCGGGAGAGACAGCCAATGTCTTCTCAATAGGCTGCAGTCAGATATTTTGCAGGAAGAATAAAAGTGCATGAGAGCTAACTCAAAAGTGTGAGAGCTGGCAACACTGCATAATAAAATATATAGTTTAATGCTAAACAAGCTTGATAAATGACAGCACGCTTGCTCCACCTACTCCTCCATCTCACAAGATGACATGAATACGAGAGAAGTATTTGACAAAAATGTTGGCATGTTAAAAACACAAACTTTTTAACTCTTTGATGTAGGACTTAGCTGGAGCCTATATAGCTTATACAGTTTAATCTAGCCATGGGTGTAATGATGCATCGTATTGTATGTAGGGCTGTCACTATTAACTATATTAGTAATTGAGTAATCTACTGATTATTTTGATAATTGATCCAGTAATTAAGGTTAACTGAACAATAACAATTACTACAGTAGCTCTGTTTCGTACTATAAGACAGACTGTTAAGAGAATTAAAATCTTTTTTTACATTATTTTTACGTTGTAAAGTACAACATTTGTTTAGTTTGTGCACAAGCTGCTTTCAATATGTTAAGTGTTCTGAGAAAAAGGCTTATTTGTAGGAACCCCCAAATTTTTTGCTATATCAAAAAATATTTTAAATCAAGGCGCCATCATATTGTAAAAAAACAAACTCTCAGTTGTATGACCGCTGCTCGAAAATGATTATTTTATTATTTTGTGTGTGTGTTTCTACAGTACATCCTCCTCTGGTCTTGGCAGTAGTGTTGGTCCAGCCACGCCCATCGAAATGTCCTCCCACAATAGTAGTCCCGCCCAGCACTCCCTGGCCACGCCCACACCGCATGAGCTCTTCAAATGTTTGTCTTCATCTCCTAACAGTCCGCAGGACAGTCAGCAGGATTCATAATGTGCGCCTAGTTCTGTACACTAAAGAAGCTATTCATGCCGACATATACGCACACACACAAAAACCTTGTTTGCTGCTCATATCTCCCAAACGTAACATTTGGGTGGATTACGATGAGAGGAAAAATGTTCTTTCATTTTTTATGTGCTTTGTCTTTTTGCGTATTTTTGTGTTCTGTATTTGTCTTTTAAAGAGAGAACTTGTTCATTTTCTTCTACAAGCTGCCTGAAATTGTTGAAGGTGAAGACTCATGCTTAGGCATGGTTAGGAGTGCAATAGGAGCAAAGAGCAAAATGAATAGTGAGTTCAGCATGACTTAAAGACGGATTAAACAAAATATTAGAAAGGAATCTCATAATTCTGGGTATGTTTGTTAGTATTGCATTGTTTTATTTGCATTGTTCAGTGGTTTATGCTAGGTTTCAAGAGATGTGAAGAAAAAAGTGATTTTTTTTAAAGATAATTTAATTTTGAAAAAGTTTTATTGTAATTTAGATATAATGTAAAAAAATGAATAAATGTTAGTTTTTGGAAAATTTTAGTTCTTTAAGATTCTGTTTGACATAAGAAATAGGAAATTTTGAATTTTTTTTAAATGTCTCATAGAATCTTAAAGGGGCATTCAAGGCTAAAATTTAATGTTATTGTGTTCTGTAAAGTTCTGAAGAGCAGTGTTGCATCCCTCCCTCATCATTGTGACAGAATTCACAGATTTGTATCGTATCCATTAATATTCTCTCACTACAGTACCTCAGCATGCATTATGCAAATACATCATACAACCATTGGGAATCATTATACGGCAATAAAGAAATCCTGACTGCTAGTGTAGCCACTGATGTAAACACTAATGAGTACAGTTGTGATGTATGACTTCCTAGCCATAATGTTAGACATCTGGCTTCCTTCTACACTAACTAGCTAGCAGAAAATAAAACACAAATATCTGCCATGAAGCCCTTGCAGTTTTTCCAAAGCTCCTCCCACCTTCAACATGCATCATTAGAAGGGGGTTGTCTTGTCTTCAAAAGGGAAAATCTCACTCTAGAGGCTACTTTAGCACCACTATAGGAGGCAACTAGGCATTATTACAACAGATTTAGTGATGGTTACGCTTTTCATTTTGGTCGAAGTGCCCCTCTAAAATATACTCTATAGTTCACTTTTAGCCAAAAAGGACACTTGACACGATGCTTCAGACATTACATTTTCTAAGTGTCTACATTATTGTTCTAAGCACTGAATAAATGGGCAAATTGCAGGTTGAATAATGTAGCAGACACAAACTAAAGCATTTTGATATGTTGTTCTTCTGCATACACTTATATGGTCTGACAAAACTTTCTTCAAGAACATTTAAATACAAGACTTTTTTAAATAACTGCCTTCTAGAAGAATAAAAAATTAACACTGCACTATTCTTTTATTGGTTTTAAATGTGCTCAATGCATCATATAACGTAATTTGGGGTTTTGGGAATGTAAACATTTAGAAATACAGAATACTTGAATTTAGAAGGAACTGCTTCTCGTATTTTATGTTTTATAAATAGTGGACTATAGGAGCTGTTTCTATCATCTGTGTTTCTCTAGCATGTCCTGTGTTCATAAAATCTATAAATTGTCCTGCTAACACTGAAAAAGGGAAAAAAAGATAAAGTTTCCTTTGAATGAGGGATGGCATCAGTAGACATACTGAGGGGTATTGGTTAAGACAAAACTGAAAAATGTTGTCGTTGGCCTTGGTGGTCTGATTGGGAAAGTGTTCGATCTGCGCAGTCGTCGATTCATCAGTGTCCAGCAGTAGCCGATAAGCGTTTTCAGTAGTGTCGCACCAATCACTACACCCATAAACCCTCACCAATCTCTGCCATCTCAAATCACCCTCTGCATAGGGGATGCTAAACTGCAGCTAAACTGCCCTGTCAGCTGTATTATCCACACATATTACGTACATAAACCCAGATATACAAACTGCCATTCAGAAAACAACCTAGAACTTATATTGGAGCTACGTCCTAAAATAGCCAAGAGGGAATGAAAGCAAATAGGAATGTGTATTGCATTTGCTTAGTTCTGAACGAAGTGTAAACTGTACTGTCATATATTACAGTGAGTCAGAAACATTTTCATCTACTGCGTTGTTGTCTCACATCCTCTATCTACTCTTTGCCAGACACTACAGTTAATGTGACTAAGCCCTTTTCTGTTATTCATTTAAAATCACTGTAAATCAGAAATCAAAACTCATTTTTCTGCTGCACTGTGACAGTTTTATGAGAGAAACAGAGTATCAGGGAGGGTGTCTGAGCTAGCTGAGCATTTTCGCTTGATATTAGGCGGAGGGTGGTGAGAGGGCCAAGGTAAAACATGATGTTATTGGTTAATCTTATGTTTTTCTGCCTGCTGGTGCATAGTGATGTAATTAAAATTCAGATGATGCTTTATAAGCAAAAGCCACTACACTTTGATGGAATATTATGGGAAAACAAAAAATAGCAGTTTCCATATGATAAATTGTGAACTAACATGAATGATGTTGATTCAGGTTGACTTTAAGTAATGTTTTGTAATCACAATTCATATTGCAAAAGTTCAACAGTACAGAACGATATTTTACTGCATTTTACTGTGGTATGGTTTGCCATTTGCTTTCTCTTTCCTATCATGTAGTCTTTCATAAACCATAAATAATATGGCAGAAATGCAGCAGATCAAGAGTAAACCATACATGGTTTCTACACCATTCCATATGGTTAGCGAGATGGGGGTGCTGAGTCTTGTCACTTTTGAGAAATCCAACAAAAAGCCACTTTTAACTTTAAGCCAAGGGTCACCAATCAGAAGCACTTAGGCAGGGCAGAGGTTGCTGTAGTGACAGTGGAGCTGGCGGAGAGACGGTCATTTATCACTGGCTGCTTCGGAGTGAAGCTGAGAGAAAGAGACAGCGCCTGCCCCATAGACAAACGACCAACAATAAAGAGAATTAATCAGCCCCGATTACCTACCTGACCATGGCCAATGAGAGAGAAAGAAAACGCTAGAGAGGGCCAGAGACAGGCCAAAAAAAATTGAGGCAGTAAAGCCTACTACAAGAAGAAAAAGCTACTTTTAGGCATACCTATATAATATTTATTTGTAAAATATGAAATATACATTTACACATGGTTTTCCACCTTTATATATAATCTCTATTGGTGCCCAATAAAGACAACAAACTGATTCCAAAGCTAAAAGAAAACTCTATTCATGTAGGAAGAATACACTTTAAATAAAGGTTCCTAAATGGTTTTTGTATGGTTCTAGAAAAAAAATGGATGGGTGTAGAATTTTTACATTACGTTAAGGTTCTTCGAAGTTTAAATACATACTTTACACTCGGACATCTCATTTACAAACATTGGGCCTCATTCACCGTTCTTAGAAGGAATTCCTTCTTAAAACCCTCTTATGCAGTTTTCACGAAGTTTCTGACATTCACCAATGTTTTCTTATTTGGGATTTGTTCTTAGGTAAGAACTACAATAAAACAAACATAAACATGATTTGTTTTTACGGTAAAGCAACTATCAGTGATTAGGTGCCCCACACTGGCAATCAGTATCCATGATCCTAAAATGAACATCAGTTTAAGGTATTGATCAGGAGCTGTAGGCCACCGGTCCCACTGGGCCTAAGTTAGAGTTTATGAAAACTTTGTGGGAACTTCAAGTCATTAATGCATATATAACAAATCCCTGAGTTTGTCCAACTCCAGAATAACTGCAAAAACTAGTGGAATTAGTAGAAAACTAGTGGAATTGTTTGTTAATGTCTGAAATCAAAGCATGCAACCTAAACAGCAAAACACTCCCTTCACCTGTCAGTCCGTTGTAGTTAATCAATAATTTGATTGTAACTCACCTCTTTCTGATGGATTAAGCAGCAGAACGGGCTTGACTGTTCGCACCCAATAACGCTGTCTAATCATTCCTCATATAGGGCTGGTCTCAGTGCACTGCTACTCAGGCAACACCTTGTGCTGGTTCCCCGCATTCAACGCACCTGTTACTGTTTGATCCTGTTTGGATTCCTGAGGCATCAGAGAAAAGCTATTCTCACTGATTTGTGATTATTTTGTGACTCACTGATAAACTGAAACAATGTCCACTGTTAAACACACATTATCTCCCAACCATTTCATAGTATACAAACTGATGCCTGGTTGTTTCTTTGCCAATTTACTCAATATGCATTTTAGAGCAGGTGTCTCAAACTCATTACGTAGGTTTCACTAGCTAGGTGGTCGTCTTCAAGGGGCACTGTTGAACAAATGCAGGAAAAGTTTTCTACTTTCAAGTGTTAATGTAAACTGCAGTCATATGCCAAAGTTTGAACACCCCTGGTCAAAATACAAATTGTGTTGATTTTCTAAGTAAAAATATGTTAACACATAGTTAACAGAGAACACACTTAAATATGGCATTATTCTGCCAATTTTAGAGCACAATTTTTAGTTAAATACTAAGTTTAACAAAACAAATGGAAAAAAATAAAATATACAGTATAAAATGCCAGAACGTCTGCACAAGTTTTATGTTCTATTTTTTCTAATTTTAGTGAATAAACTGTGATTCTGCTTAAAATGTGCAGAGGTGTGTTCTCTGTAGAGGATGTCAACTTATTTTCACTTAGAAAATCAACAAAACACATCATTTGATCAAGGTGCCCAAACTTCTGCTTATGACTGTACATACCATATAAAATCATTAAAGTGCAGGCCATGTTTATAAGCAATTCTTCTGTCACCATAAACCACAACTACTACAAATATGACTCGTAGTAGCAGTAATAATAATAATAATAATAATAATAATAATTATTATTATTATTATTATTATTATCATTATTATTATTGTTATTGTTCTTGTTACTTTAGTGTTCAGTTAAGTCAAGAAAATAGAATTAAGTGATGCTCTTATTGTGATATCTTTGGCGTTCCTGCTGAACATGAGTGAATTCATTGCGAGTGATGTGTTGGCTAAAGGGAGGCAGTTCTCAATGGATCTGTTTGGTAATTCCATTCATTTCTTAATTCTTATGTGCCATATCCACTGCTTTGTCATTAATGAATCTACAACTAACTATTTGGTCTAAATTAGAATATTAGCTAAGTTTTTTATAGCTGAATTATAGTCTGCATAGTGTACAGCGTTCATGCTTCTTCAGGTTTTCATTTTAAAAGGTTCTTCTTGCATGCAGCACTCTATTTTTGTTTTTAACAGCATAAGCATCAGATAAAGCTGATTTTATATAGTTTATGTTTGGTAGCCACAGTGTCTGGCGGGTAAAGCAAATCTACCCATCCAAAAAAAAAACAGATTTAGGGATAAATTGTAAATATGTGATGTGATCTGTATGAAGCTGTCTTGCAAGGCCAATCATTTACGATGGCCATTTTAGAGACTAGAGCACCAGTAAAGTATACTCAAAAATGAACCAAGGGGGTTGTTTGTTTCACAGGCTGAAAATATGATGACATTAATTGCAATGGCATTTAATGTCCATACACAGTATACTGACTCTACTCTGTTTGATTGAATAGAGATGTGTGGCATAATTACATTATGCTTACAGTGATTTATATTTTTGAGAGTAGTGGATTCTCTCTGAGATGAGAGGACATGGTTTCATCGATAGTGCACACACTCTCTCTCGAGATATATCCTGTATTCTGCAGTGAAGATAAGAATCAGTCATTCGCCATTGCTTTACATGGAGTCCTTTATCCCTCTAGACCACTTTCCATTATCTGTTTACCTTATGACACACTGTAACTAGACATCAGCGTCAACTCTGGAATGAGCCCATCCTTTAGTGCTCTTGTAACTGAGGAGTCACGCAAGGGTCTGACGAGTGAGTTTATATCATTTACTCCCTAGCAGGGGAATCTTTTATATAGCATTAGTGGTGAGGCCTACGCTTAAAGACCCCTCAGTTTATTGGTTGAGCTGCCATAAGTGGTGCTGCTGAACTCTCTGTAATGGACGCTGATGGGTTTACCCAATCCGAATGCAGCAGCAATTGACAAGCTGTAGGAGAGAGACAGAGTACAGATGAATTTGAGTGTGTGTGCGCGTCTATGTATGTGTGTGTGTGTGTGTGTGTTATATTGTGTAGTAATTGCTGTGTTTCTCTGCTTTATTGGCTCTTAACCTTGGGCTGACAGCTACCGAGCTGGTGGGGGTTCGGTTGCTATGACAACCCTGCCGGAATGGGGGAATGGGGACGGCACTGGCAGGTACGATATACCACACTGCAGCATGAATGGAATCACCAATGAAGTGATGGAGAGAGAGAAAAAGAGAGGGAGGCAGACAGAGAGAAGTCAAACATTGAAATGAATCATTATGTGATGTATGCAGCTACCTTGGC